ATGCAGAAGTGAAATGTTGCACCAAAAAGATCAATTGATCCCAGTCCCTGAAGCCAAATATATTTGGGCTTATAAACAAATACCAAAGTGTTCACTAGATGACTGAGTACGTCTAATTCCAGCCACACAGATATCCATATTGAAAGGGAATTCAACCCTCGACTGCGAGGAGCTAACGATGCCCACCAAGAACGCCGCCATTACCTAAACGCTATGATATTAATATACCCTAGTCCAAGGTTTCATGGTGAGTATATTCATTTAAACATGTATCTGCATTCCTATCCCTTCCTTATGATACCTCACCACTTCCTACATAAAGCTAGTCGTAGAGTCCGCTCTCGCGCTCTCTGTCCGATCAAATTCAGCGGTGTAGGTCCTATTTAGCGGCAGCCAGCGAGGGATATCATGAGAGTCGCTAAGAGAAAAGACCAACAAAATCGTCCCCACCCAACCTCCGGCACTGCGCGGGGCTCCAGGCAAATATCTAAATTGTTTTACTCATAGAAACTTCACATCTATTCTGTAGGCCAGGATAATTTCACGCCAGACTTTCCCATTTTGGCGGAGGACATAGATCGGCCCACGTATCAGGAGATTCCTACCAGTTATGATTAAGGTGTGTGAGGTGGGGATGGAATATTGCAGGACGGTCGGGTAGAGTCTTAGGTCTTGAGACGTTTAATATGGGCTTAGAATCGTCCCGGCCGTCTCTTCTCAGCCCAACACCACACGATAGAGGCGCAAGGAAGGCATGGAAGCGGCTATTGAAAGGAGTTTAAGTTCATTCTTATGTCAAACGGCAACAGTTAGAGGTTGGAAGAGTTTTTTAATTTTAAGGATTAAATTTTACGCGCAAAGTGTTTTAGTTAAGCAGCTCAACCATCATTATATTAAGCTGAACCAGAGCTTAAAGCGGCTCACTTTTGCTGGTCCAATTTAGTTTATAAGTATCCCACCTAACATTACGTACTAAAATAGTCTAAAAATTTTCTTGCCACCATACAGAAAGTGGGACTAGGATTGGAGTTTACTTTTTCGTGTACAAATATGCACTCGAACTGAAACTCAACATTTGTAAAGTGCAGTACTGTTCTAACTGGAAGAAATTCATCCTGGTTGAATCTTCTTAAGATGTGCTTTTGCTCTGTGATGTCGGGCAAGGTCAAGACAAAGGCTCGACCCACGCTTTATTAAAAACCAGCAATTTCTCTCCATTATAAGGCATGTTTACACTGCAGGGGAGGGGATCCCAAGTTCTAAATGTTTTCCTCACATTGACAACAATCCTAAATACGTTCTGGTGTATTTCAATTGGTGATTTGAAAAAGCCTTGCTTGCGGTGTGGTTTTTGAGCATTGATACACATTTGGGGCTGAATGTTGAGGTCACCGAAAAAGTGGAATCAGGGTATAAATGGCCGCTCAGGTGTGTAAGTAAGAGTTATATTTTAGATGAAGCAGACCGGAGAGTGGAGAGTAACCGTTCGAACAGCGAGTGGAACTGCCATGTCCCCCGAAGCATTAAATGTTTAACAAGAATATTAAGCGTATAAGACAGGGAAAGTACAATATATATATGTATATGTATACAGCAAGGGCCACACTCCTGCTCCTGTTGCTGGCTGTAGGTACTGCACTGTTACCTCTCTGGTGACCTTTTCGCTGTTTTGTTTCCACTCTCAACAGACAGGTGAGCAGCTGACTTTCTGCTGCTGCTGCTGCTCTTGTATATCACTGCAAGAAATTTCCACCTCAGCAGTCCCAACACCTGTTTGCTGTTTCTCGGCTCGACCAGACAGTATCTCATCGGGGAGTGTGGAGACAACTGCTCCAGGGGATTTGAATGAAAATGCAGCTTCAGCTCTCTCTCTCTCTCTCTCTCTTTCTCTCTGCAGCACCTTTTTTTTTGCGTAGTTTTGTGCAATTGTGGTAAACCAAAGACAGACATTTATGAGATGTTTGGCACGCTGCCCCTGGTGACAGACACACACACACACACACACAGAAGCTCCTGCTGCTGTTGAGTGCAGGACTCTGTGTTCTGGCCCCAGTGAATGTATTAGAGCTGCCAGGACTAAAATAACTCATTGATTCACCAATCTCACCCCAGGTCTCGACCATTTATCAGCCAAAAGCTATTTTTCTCACTTGTTTGGAACCACAAGATGTCCTGAGATGCATTTTTTTTTCTTTTTTACTGCCCTGCAAAGTCAAAACAACAGACCTGAGCTAAATCATGTAGCTGTTAACTTAAATAAAAGATTATCAACATAACTTTATGAGGAAGCAGCTTTTGAAACTAGTGCATGTATTAGTAGTAATGAGTGGATTTATTACAGCTTCCAGGACTAAAATAACCAATTACCAATCTCTCCTCAGGCATTAATCAGCAAAAAGATATTTTTATGACTTGTTAAGAGCCACAAGATGTCCTGAAATGTTATTACTGCACTACAAAGGCAAAACAAGAGCTAAACTAAAGGTTCTATGGAGTGAATATAACCTTTAATATATGAATATGGTGCTATAGCTGTGGCTAGCCTCAGCTAAAGCTTAAACTACACTGACCTAGCTATTAACTGTAATTAAAATATATTATTGATGAACTATTTAACATAAAAAATTAATAAGCAGGAAAAACATGATGGAGAAAACCAGCTAATCTCCTGCTAAACACATTTTTTGTGTAGCCCAACACTGTCTGTTTGTATTAAATCATTTTTAGGTTTAAATAATCTAAAACAACATTACACCTTTACAGGAGCCTGAAAAACCTTCAAGCCTTTCTTCTCAATTCCACTGCTGTTCTGTAGTTTCTGCTCTCTGACTTTTTCAGGGCAGATTAGAAAAGAATGTCTCCGACAGACTTGTAAGACGGACCTGACATGTCCTGATTTACCGTGTCTGTCTGCAGTTTCCGTTAAATGGGAACCCGTATTTTTTAAAGTCATTGCAAAAAAAATTCCTCTCTTTCCCCATCTCCCCGGAGAGCGCAGAGAGAAATGCTGTGAATAATAAAAACTGTTAGATTGCTTGTAAGTGGCAGCCTGTGTGAGCTCTTGTTCTCTGCACTGTCCCATCAGTCTGATCTCTAAAGGGAGAAACTATATTTCACTCACGATTATAATGAAAGAGGAGCAGGTGAAGAAGGTTGTTTTTGACCATTCTATACATTTTATCAATTTACTGCACTGTGAACCAGAGAAAATGTGTTGCAGCTCTGAAAAAAACATGTTTGTCACGGTCCGGAGAACATATGCAACGTCTTCTCGTCCTTTACTCGCTCCTCATTATTCTCTCTCTGTGTATCTAATATCCTACAAGGAAAGAGGATAAATGTCATCCAGCAGCTCTGCTTTAAGAGTGCAATCCTCCATCTTTAAATTACCCCTTTTTAAGCTTAAGAGGGTACAAATGACTCAAAAGTATCCCACGAGGATTACCATGGTTACACTTTAAAACACCATAAAATCCGCAATTACCCACAAATGTGGCTGTTTATTAACCATTAATTCAGTTTTTTTATTACTGAAATGGGGCCATCACTCAATCTTAAAGAGCTATTAAATGTATAGGATTTATATTTCAGTGTGAACGTTGAAGACCATGAGCTGCGGTTAAAAGCTCCAAAAAACTCATTACATATTGGATTAATATTGGAGCGTTGACGTTCATTCTTGAGCTCGTTGACAACTGAATGAACTCCATTAGCTGATAAAGAACATGAGATGCGGGTGAAAGCTCAGGAAAAAGCGAAATATATTAGATTTAGATTTGAGCGTTGACCTTGAAAAATAGTAGTTTGACAAAAAGTGTCTAACTCAAGGTCCACTTGTCATTACAACTGAGTAAACTCCATCTACTGATGAAGACCATGAACTGTGGTTGAAAGCCCTGGAAAACAAAAAAAAACAAAAAAATAAAACCCCAAGATGTTAATGTTGCTGCTTAAGACTTACTGGATATTTGTGAAAGTGTAAATTCTTGACCTGGTAAATAGTAAGAAATATCATAAGGTCCACTCTCCATGAAGACCATGACATGTGGTTGAAAGCTCCAGAAAAACGACATACAAAGATTTGTATTTCAGCATTAAAGTTCATATTGAAAGTAGTTGCTTAGTCGCTGCTTTTTTTCTTTCGCTGTAGCTTGAAATGACTGATGAAGACCATGAGCTACGGTTGAAAGCCCCAGAAAAAAAGCCAGTAAGTTGACCGTGAGTGAACTTTTTGTTGTTGTTGTTGTTAAACTACTACTTCCATTCTCAAATATAAATTTTGTATGATTTGTTTTTCCAGAGCTTTCAAATGCATCTTATGGGCTTCATCAGGCTCATGCAAAAACAACTAGTAAGCTTCATATTGTTTTGTTACTATTATTATATTTTATAATTTTATAACTTATTTTCTGTTATTTAACTTTCTCTTTGTGTTTAACATGAAGGAGCTTTCATTTTGTTATACAACCTTGTGTTTGTTGTATAATCATAGATCAATTTTCTTGATTTTGTGTCCCATAATTGACTATGTGGTATTTCTTTTAAGTGTTCACCTTGGTGTAAATACATTCCTGAGAGGAAATGTAACATTTCAGCGGGAAAATTATCAATATTTATAGAAAATGAATTGCCACTGTCTTGTGGCTTTAGTCCAAAAATATCAAGTGTTGGCCCTCAAAACCCCTTTTTGTCCTACCGACTCAACATCCATCCAAATCTAGTGCAATTAAAGGTCCAGTGTGGAGGATTTAGTGGCATCTAACGGTGCAGTTGCAGATTTATCAGAGGAAGGAGAAGCTGTGGTGGTTGTGAAATGCAGGAAAAAGGCAAAATGCCTTATTTTCAGGTGATTATAGAGTAAAGAACACATAATTATAAATATAATATTCCATTTCTGCCAATAGATCCTCCTCAGTGTTACACACTGGACCTTTAAGTAAATGTTCCTCTGTTTTACTATAACAAATCTGATACGTGAAAGAAATTAAACGACACGGTCACACGGTTAAGAACAGTCTTTACTCTGTGGAGAGGTCCACGCACATATCGACATCAACATGATTTACAAGGAGATTTACCGTCACACCCAGCAGTAAGACACATCAACGACATTCTACAGGTAAAAATGACAAAACAAAAAAACAAAACAACGGAACTCATCTCATAAGGTGCTTCATAATATGCGACAGGAATGTTATGAAAAACGTCTACATAATCCTACAGAGACACCAATACTGCATCTACATATATATATATATATATATTCATACCATAATATAAAACAATCTACACAAAAATAGAGCAAATATTTACAGAACAGACTATTTACAACAAAAACAGGCTTAAAGATGAAGAGCAATATATATATATATATAAAGTAAATATATATATTTATGCTGGATTAATGTACACGTGGAGTCTGTGGTGAGATGTACTGGAGCAACATGGTTAAAAATCACAAATTGGCCAACTGCAGCAACTGTTCTTTGAACTGCTGCGCGTGGTGAGAGAGGTCAGTGACTCTGTCCACCATGTCCTGGATGGCGGCCGTGTTCGGGTAGTTCAGGGCGGCCATTTTAGTCGCAGCCACCACCGTCTTTAACAAGTCACACAGCACGTTACTGGAGTTCATCACCCTGTTGGCCACCTCGGGAGCCGAGGCCTGCCTGGACAGAGTGTCTCCGATGAAGACCAGTTTGTGGGCGCTGAGGATGACGAACTTGCTGTGCGCCACGAAGATGCGAGGGGGCTGCCCGGCGCTCACGCAGCCGAAGAAGGCGTCCACGGCGCTGAGGAGCGTGACGAAGTGCTGCTCGCACTGCTCCGAGTAGAAGCCGAGGAGCTGGCGGTCACGGGCGCACACGTGCGTGGATGGGGACAGGGAGGAGGAGGAGTCCGAGGGGGAGGCCGAGGTTATGCCCGAGTGTTGGTGTGAGATCCACTGTGTGATGTCATTCTCCACAGGTTTGATCACTTCCTGCTCCAGCTTCTTGAACTGATTGATCTGTGGAGGGTGACAGGATTTAGATTATTTTCTTGTCAACATGTAACGAGATCCTGATGTTACGGAGAGAAAGTCATATGAGGTGACGTTTCTAGGATTAAAATTCTTCCAATTGGACAGATATAAATATATATAAAAATATAAGTCGATTAATCGATTAGTGGATCCGGAGAAAATCGATTTTCAGCCATTTATCAAGTAAAAATGCCAAATATTTGCTGGTTCCAGCTTCTCATTTATGAGGATTTGCAACTTGTTTTTGATAATATGAATGGTCAAATAAAACAAGTAATTTAGGTTTTTCACCACATTTTGACATTTCATGGACTAAACAAATAGTCAGTTAATTTAGAAAATATTGGGCAGATTAAACAGTAATGAAAATCTCAAGACTGAAGGCCCTGACAGCTAGGTTTCAAATCTTAAAGCAGCAAAAAGGAACTTTAAATTTGTGTTGATTCTGGCCCCTCCTGTGGACACAAGTGTTAGTGTCTCATTTCATTGATTTCAAGGGGAATCCGGCTGAATTAGGCATCAGGCATTAAGAATAACTACATAGAAACAGACAGTCTTCTTGCTTATAGTCCTGTTAGTTTATGTGGATCATTATAGAGGCATCAGTATTAAACTGAGACTGTTTCACAACCAGTTAAAAACTCCTTGTAGTAGGTTTCAAGTAACAACATCCTTTGTATTATTATTTATAAAGAGTTTAACCCGCAAAACTATAACAATTTGTTTTTTATGATATTCTGTCTCACTTTCTATGTGTCAACCGCTTTATCCATTATTGATAACAGAGAATCACGTATAGGCACTAATCCTAACACCGTCTTCAATGTCGGTTTCATGTGAAAAAAGAGAGAGAAAGTCTCACCTGTTCTTGGCCCAGTTGGACTTGACTTTGCTTGATAATGTTCTCTTTGTCCAACAGCTCCTTCTGCTGACGCTCAAAGTCGTCTTTGCCCTGCGGAGGAAGACAAGTAGGTGAGAAAAGGCATTCAAACGTTCTCGGGTTACGTCCTACATGCAGTACACATAATCTCTGTAGTATGAAAGTGGAAATATGAGAGACAGTTATGAAATTTTAACCCCAAAAAACCCCAGAAGGATTGAAGATTCTTTACTTTAGTGGGTATTTATGTGAAATTGACTTTTCTCATTCAGGGTAACAAAGCCACTATGTGTAGGATTTAAAAAATGTCTGACTTTGTTGAAGTTATATGAGTTATATAACGTTCTCACTGAGGATTTACCTGCAGATGAACATAATCGTAGTCCTCCATCCAGCTCTTCACACACTTCTCGCTGTTGTTCATGTTGTCTTTGTCCTTGCTGGAGGGCACGGGGAAGGGCTTGGTCTGGCCTCCGTAGTTGTCGTTGTCAGAGGAGGGGGATGTGAGCGGGTGGATCGTGTTCTCATCAGGCGTGCTCCCGATAGAGAAAGACCCGTCCATGTGCGTCCGTCTAAACAGCAGCTCAGCATTGCTGCCTATTGTGGAGGCCAGCTGCTTGGCATCGTCGGGAACAGTCCTGGAGACCATGACAAAGCGATCCAAGTCGTCGCTCTTGTTGTGGTGCTTGCTGGAGGACGCCAGGGCATTCAGAGCCCAGCTGCAGTTCTCCAGGACTTGGTAGATCTGCAGGAGGATCTGCTGCGAGTCCTCCAGGCGTCCCAGCTGCCTCCTCAGCTTACTGTGCAGGCTGGAGTCTGATAGAGCTGTGGCGTTTGCCGCAGCCCCTCTACCAAACACAACAAAGTCCCCCAGAGCAGCCCGGACCCTGTCCAGCACAGTGCGGACGTCGTTAGCGTGCCGCTCCATGAAGGGAAAAGTCCTCCAGTGAGGGGAAGCTGCCATTGAATGTAACGCCCCGACTGAGACATCCACGCCCTGCTGCAGGCGGTACAACCTCTGGATGGCAGCATCCACATCGAGAACGAGGCGGGCCTCGGAGCTGGAGCCCGTGGAGGATGAGGAGGTGGACATGCTGCTGCGCGTGCTGCCGGTGCTGGAGAACGACAGACGGTTCACGCCGTCCGTCACGTCTGCTACTGCACGAGCATCCTGAGCGGGGATGTCATAGATGCCTTTGCTGCCGTCTCTGTCAGCAGGCGAGGTTCTGTGCTGGGGGAGCTGCATGCCCCGGGGGATGTCGTATACGTCCCTCTGAGATGCCCCAGAGTGAAGGGTCGGGGGAGGCACGTCGTAAATGCCTTCGTTGCCGTTGGTGTTTGGGTGTTGGTGATGGTTGGGAGGCTCTGCACTCGGAGGGAAATCGTAATGCGACTGTGCGGGCTTGGTGAGGACAGGTGGCGGTATGTCGTAGATGCCTTCCTGTTTCTGTTTGAGAGGCTGCGGGAAGTCATAGTTTCCCTCCTGGAGAGCGGGGTTGGTCCTGCAGGGAGGCACCGAGTAGACCTGCAAGCGAAGACAATTCAACATGAATCTATTAGTCACAATGCAAACAAGGAACTTTGTCTTCTGTCACTGGCATCAGCCAGAGAAATGGTTCCTGTTCTAAAACCCAACTCAAGTTTCTTACAATCAGTAGGCGATTTCAGGGGGGAAGACTTTCCCCTTGTTAGCAAAATGAGTAAAAAAAATGCCCCTTGTTAACCTGCCATCCCCCCTCTCCAATCCCCCAGTACAGGGGAATGCAACCTGCGGCTCTGGAGCCCCTCTCCAGTGGCTCCCTGTGACTTCCACAAAAATTATATGGAAATGAAAAACATTTTCATTTATCATTGTTGTAGGCCTATAAAGAGTCTCCAATGGTAAAAAAAAATATGTAGCCATTACTAACAAATATTAACATTTTGTCAAGTAAAATGTGCTTCATACGTTAGATCCTGACATGGCACCTCTTCCTCTATATTTTGCCTCAGTATCAGTGGTGGTATCAGTCTTGAGTTCCCTAGCAAGACAAACTGTGGACTCTTGGAGGAAATCGGGCTTATGGTTGATATGTGGCGAGAAATCAATTCACTCAATCAGCATTATATGGATCAAATATGTTTTGTGGCTCCAGGGAAAATGGCTCCTTTGATAGTAAATGTTGCCGACCCCTGCCTTAGTACCAAACTCACTAACAGGCAGACTGCGGTGCGGATCCAGACCCAGACGCTATCCTATCCCGACCCAGACCTATAACCAATAAATTATTGAGCATTATCCCATTCTGACAGAGCGTTTCTACGTTAACTGGGGCAGCTATTCTAACCTTTACGGCGCTGGTTTAACGGCCCAGGCAACTCCCAGACCGTGCATGTGTTGTAAATCATCTCCGGTGATGCTACTCAGCCAGCGAGCATTACGACTCGAGTCAGCGAGTGAGATACACACAGGGGAGAGACAACAGCCGGGGAAATGAGTGAGTCAGAGAAAAGTAATTTCACATGGCGTGCTCTAAAGAGAGAAGAGTTAGAGAACATTTCTTCGAGCAAAGGTCAGGAATATCATAATGTCTAACATGTTATGAACTCATTGTCCCGACCTTGGCTCTGAAATATCAGGAGCTTAAATGTGTATTTAATAATCACGGGTGCTGTCCGTTAGTGTTGTGTTTGTCTGTTGTGTTAGTGTTTGTAATTACGCCTTTCTCTCTCAGTCCGGCCCTCCTGTCAGTCTCATCTTAGCTCTCTAATATTTTCTAAACATTGCTTATATAGCAGGTTATTTAAAAGGACCAGTCTTCTCATCACTAAAATAAAAATGTTTCTTTCCTTTTCATGGCCTCCAGTAAACCTGCCTGTTTCTACAGCTGATGACGCCTAAATGTGGTTCAGTTCTGCTCTCATCAGTATGTTGGTGATTTAGGTTTGTACCAAACATCAACAGAAATCGGGAACATGATGAACTTTAGTAAGCAGGTTACTCAGAGAATTCAGGTTACGCAGGTAATCAGTTGACACGTTTACGTGCACTGTTAGTCACGTAAAGTCGAAAGAAACATTGCATTCAGAGCAGTCTGAAGATTACTTTTACATAAGTTTACCTCATTATTTAACACATTGTTTAAAATCAACACCCGGCATTGTCACATTATACACTGCTGGACCAATGGAGCTAAATGGAATAATTGTATAGCATTATTGAACTGTATGGGTTCACTTTGGTACGACTGACCTGGTTTGAACTGTTTTAATCAGAGCTGCCTAATAAAAATCTCTCATTTCACTGGTTAATTAAGCCCCCTGATTGAATTCACCTGCTCGTTTTTTAGAAATGCAGCTCAGGGTTCACTAACTTTCGCCCATACAAAAGTTTCCAAAACATTATTTTTAATTTACTCTTTTGACTTATGAATTGATTTCCTCTATAAACACACAAATCTTATTGCATATAAACAATACTGGTTCTGATTAAATAAAGAAATAATGATAAAACTATAGAAAACTCTTTACTTTACTTTATATATGACAGAAACTGAGGAAAAACATTAAAGGTCCCTTTTACCTACGCTAGAAATCCCCAGGAGCAACATCTCACTATATTTCCATAATTACCCGGATAAGTAAAACCAGTTCTCTCACTTGTATGACACTTGAGAAATCACCTTACAGAATAAAGTCACTGTAAATACACTGAATGTCAGCGCCAGATACAGTTCTTAGAGCCGCACTACAGTTACAGATTGAGGAAGTGAAAGACCTTCTGGCTTGTGCAGATACTATATTTGAAAAACTCACATGTTTCTTCCTCTGCTGCAAGAGACACACCAACACTTAAACCGTCAACTAACTCGACAAGGGCAGAGTGTGCGTCCTGACCTACATGGAGCATGGAGCATGATGGGAGCGCAGTGGGGTGAATAAAAAATGGTGGCCTGTGAGTGATTTCCATCAGCCTTGAAATGCACTCTTTACAGCTAGACAGGCCTGCCCAAACTGTAATTAGGAACGACGCAAATAACAGGTCCCAGCATATTTCAGGTTATTACAAACAAACTGATGGCGTTCTGCCTGGTCGGGTCTGGAAGTCTGGTGAAATCTTAGAGGGGCTGGAAAGAGAAGAGTTATGTCCTTGACTGTTTTTTCCCTGCTGGAGAGTTCAGACACAGAACCATACTCAGGGAGTTTTGGTTAAACTCTTCTGGCAGGCAAAGGTTTCATTTAGCGTAGCCGCAAGAATGTCATAAATATGACATTTGACGTATTATTCATTTATTACAGGCAATTAAGAGAAATACTAGGAACTGAATCAATAAACATTAAATAACATTTTCTGGTCATAAGTGGTTGCCACTTCCTTAATTTTCTTTATTTGCCTAAAAGAAACAGAGCGTCTGACTGATGAGCCCTTTCATTGTGGTGGAAGATCGACTAGTTGTTTAAATTTTCTCTTACCCCTTGTGAGGAGGGAGGTATGTCATAAACGCCCTGCGTCCTGGCGTCCATTTGGGACGGAGGGACGTCGTACACGCCTTGGTTTCTGGCACCGGGGAACATCTGACCAGGTGGAATATCGTACACCTGAAACACAAAACGAACACAATATATCCGAGGTGTAAGTACACTCATTCTTCACTTGATTAGAAAGTGTAAAAATGACTCTGGTTAAAGTAGAAGGATTGATTCAACTTTTTTATCCAAGTTAAACTGAAAAAGTACTCAAAATACTCCAAGTATAAAAGTATAAAAGTATAAAAGTATAAAAGTAAATGGACCTGTACTTGTATAGCGCCTTTCTAGTCTTCCGACCACTCAAAGCGCTTTCA